TGTCGAAGGCGGCGCGCTGGCCCCACAAGCTGGCCTGGCGGGGAGGGAGAGGGGTGGGAGGATTCGCGATGTTGAAGTCCCAGGATTCAGGATCATCAAGACGCAACACTCAGGTTGACTCGAGGCAACGAAACCCTGAGAATGGTGTGTTGGCACGCTTCCGGATTCTCACACGGTTGTCCCCCAACGGGGCAATTCTTTCAGTGGAAATGAATCATTGTAGGGGCATATCAAGGGGGAGCATGGGGAAGCCTGTATTCCAACTTCGTTGATGAGTCTTGGCTTTACACTGGTGTTCCTCCTCCTCCTCCTCTTTCTCCCCCTCCTCCCCCTCCTCCTCCTCGTCATCATCATCGTTCATCGTCATCATCATCATCATCAGCATCATCATCATCAGCAGCAGCAGCACCGTCAACACGATCACCACCGCCATCATAATCACCATCATCATCGTCAGGATCACCATCAGCATAACCATCGCCATGGTCGCCATCATCAGCATCATCACCTTCAGCAAAACCAACACAATCAGCATCATCATCATCGACAACAACCGCATGACCAGCATCATCACCATCGTAAGCAGCAGCATCACCATCATCATTAGCACCAGCAACATAAACATCATGAACAGCAGCAGTATCATCAGCATCCGCATCATCAGCATCAGCTTCAGCATCATCAGCATCACAATCGCGAGCATCATCATCATCATCATCATCATCATCATCATCATCATCATCATAAACATCATCACCAACATCAACATCAGCATCAGCATACCCATCCTCCTCCTGATCGCCATCAACATCATCCAATAATCCTCCTCCTCCCTCCTCCTCCCTCCTCCTTGCTCCTGCTCCTCCTCGGTGCCGGGGGGCGGCGGATGATGATGACTATGATGATGATGATGCTAATGCTGATGCTGATGATGATGATGGTGATGGTGAGGGTGATGGTGATGATGATTGTGATGGTGATGGTGATGACGATGATGATGATGATGATGATGGTGATGCTGATGATGATTATTAGATCATGTTGATGATGCCGGTGGTGATGATAATGGTGATATGGTTGATGATGATGGTGATGCTGATGATGATGATGATGGTGGTGGTGCTGATGATGATGCTGATGATGACGATGCTGATGATGATGCTGATGATGATGATGAAGATGATGATGATGATGATGATGACGATGCTGATGCTGGTGATGATGATGCTGATGGTGGTGGTGGTGGTGGTGATGATGATGATGATGATGATGATGATGGTGATGATCACGATGATGATGATGATGATGATGATGATGATGATGATGATGATGATGATGATGATGATGATGATGATGATGATGATGATGATGATAACGATGAGAAGGAGGAGGCCAGGAGGAGGAGGAGGAGGCCAGGAGCAAGGAGGAGGCAGGGAGGGGGAGGTGGATAGGGGGAGGAAGGGAGGCAGGGAGGGAGGGGGGCAGGGAGGCAGGGAGGGGGAGGAGGCCAGGGGAGGACCAGAGGCGGGGAGGGGGAGGGCAGGCCGCCGCCGCAGCAGAAGCCGAGCCTCGGAGCACCCCATGCCCGCAGCGCTGCAGGCCTCGCGACAGACACGCGCCGCAGGGGGGGAGGGAGGGAGGGAGGGAGGGAGAGGGGGCGAGGGGCGAGGGCGAGGAGGAGGAGGAGGAGGACACGACGACGCGGAGGAGAGGCAGGAGGGAGGAGAGGGAAGCGGCGACGAGCTACGCGCCGCCGCCCGGGCCTCCGACGGCCGCCGACGGCCGCCGAGGGCCGCCGAGGGCGGTCGAAGGCCGTGAAAGGCCGTGGAGGGCCGCCGAGGGCCGCCCCACGGGTCGCCCAGCGGGGGGGCGGGGCGAGGGACGCTAGCCACTCGCTCCGCTCATGCGTCGATGCTACGCCGTCGACTCGAGTCGAACGTGAGTTCAACGTGAGTCGAACTCGGCTCGAGCTAGAGTTGAACTGGATCTAGACTGGAGTCGAACACAAAAAAAAAATTCCCCAAGAAGGTCCCCAAAACAAACATCTAAGGGACGCGGGACGACGGAAGAGGAGGCACAGCGTCGGAATGCCAGTGACTCCATCGCTTCAGCGCCGTGCCCTCCGCTCTCGCCCGAGGGGCATCTCGGCTGCGTGGAGCGCCCCAGCAGCGATCGTTAGGGATTCGGAGGGGGCGGAGGAGGGAGGCGAGGAGGAGGAGGAGGAGGAGGAAGAGGGAGAGGAGGAAGAGGAGGAGGAAGAGGAGGAGGAGAGGGAGGAGAAGAAGGAGTAAGAGGAGGAGGAGGAGGAAGAGGAGGATGAGGACGAGGAGGAGGAAAGAGAGAAGGTGAAGGAAGAGGAAGAGGAGGAGGAGGAGGAGGAGGAGGAGGAGGAGGAAGAGGGAGGAGGAACAGCATGAACATAAGCAAAACCCTTCGGAGGTCCGCGCGGACTTCACGGGTCGGCGACGGGCACCCACTGCTGGCGCCTCCAGCACCGCCCCTGGGACGCACCGCAAGCCAGAAGGGACACAGCGCCTCGGAACGTTCACGCTAATGTTGGTTAGTCTTCTTGCTCGAGAGGGGCAGGAGGAGGGGGAGGAGGACGACAAGGAGGAGGAGGAGGAGGAGGAGGATGTTGAGGAAGAGGAGGAGGAGCAGGAGGAGGAGGAGGATTTAGGAGGACGGAGGAGGACGGAGCCGGAGGAGAAGGAGGAGGCTGAGCGTTGTATCTTCATTGCGGGGAGCGCCTCATGTGAAAACAACCGTCTGAGAATCGTCAATCCTGCCAGAGCACCATCCATGGGACTTCAACACCGCGATCAACGTGACTGTCGCTGACTGAAAATGCAAAATCAAGCCGGGACAACACTCCTGGGACTTCAACCCCGCAAAACAATGTGAAGGTTGCGTCCTGCCAATCCTTAATCGCACCAGAAAACCATTCCTGGGTCTTCAACCATGCGAACCCTTGAAAATGTTGCAAGCGTTCGAAACGAATGTGCGCGGCGCTGCAGCGAGAGACAGGGAATCGCCCTCTTCCCTTGAAACTGCTGCCAACTTGAAAACCTGCGCTACGGCGAGAGCCACATTTTGAAAACGTGCCGCCCTGCATCCTGGAAGCTGCTGTAAAGCATCCATGGTGAGAAAGTCTCAGGCGTAACGCCTGGCACGCCCTACGGACACGTCTGGGGGTGCGATGGGGAGGAGATACTAATCAGGAAAAGGGATGGAGGAGGAGGAGGAGGAGGAGGAGGAGGAGGAGGAGGAGGAGGAGGAGGAGGAGGAGGAGGAGGAGGAGGAGGAGGAGGAGGAGGAGGAGGAGGAGGAGGGAGGAGGAGGAGTGACACTATACTGGGGGCGACTCGTGTCTCGGAGGCGAAGCAACGCGAGACAATTCGCGCCACAGGAAGGCACGGGTTGCTCTCGATGCCGACCGCAATGAATCACGAGTGGCAGCAGCGCTTAGGAAGACGGAGGAGGAGGAGGAGGAGGAGGAGGAGTACGGAGCACGGAGTAGGAGGAGGAGCAAGAAGGTGGGAGGAGGTGGAGGACACAGCACGCCGCTGCACCGCGGGATCCACCAAGGCGAGACTGGAGGCCGGAGCCAAGAACGGCTCGCAAGCGGTGCCAGCGCGGCCAGGAGAAGTTCTTCGCTGCCGGGCACCTCGGGCCCAAGACGGCCCGAGGAACGTCGGCAAAACCGCACGGGACGAAGAACTGGCCCTGGGGAAGGCCCCAGGGTCTAGGACCGGTTGCTGAGCAGGGGGAGATGAGACAAGATAGACGCAAACCTTCCGAGGTCCACGCCGTTTGATCGACTTTGCACCAGACGCCCCTTGGCGGCGATAAACAGAAACTTTCGGAGGTCCACGCGGATTTCTCGAATCCGTCAGACGCCCCCTGGATGCGCCTCCGGCGCCGATCCACGAAATCCGCTCGGACCTGAGAAAGCTCATGCCTACCACAGTAGGAGCTCGACCACAAGAAACCTTCCGCAAGACACCCAACCCTGAGGCCCGAGGACGTCCATGGATTTTTGGCGTGGGAACGTCACGCTCTTCATAGCAAAACTACGGAAACTCAGAAACCAAGGGCACTCTGGAGGCAAGCTGGGTGTTTCTTGGCATGGGCTTCCACTGTAGGCGGTTCCTCTTGGCGGCGCGCACAAGGGGGTCGAGGGAGGGGAGAGGGCCTCTTATAGAAGGAGGCTGCTTCTTAGAAGGCGCCGGCCTCACATCTATAGAGAAGGCCCGCGCCTTCTAAGAAGCAGGGGTGCTTCTAAGAAGCCCTCCCCCGCCCCCCACCCCCCTCTGCGCGTGGCGGATCCTCTTCGAGCTTCCCTCGAGCCTCCTTGCCTTCACGGCGGCCCCCAGAGGCCCAGACCCCTTCCCCCGGGACCAGCGTGTCATTCCCACGTCGTGTCTCGACGGCCCCTGGGCGCGCCGAGGGCACCCCTCTGGAGGCCGACGCCGGCAAAATTCTGGCGGGTGGTAATGGGGGGTGGCCTAAATGAGGAGGAGGAGGAGGAGGAGGCGGCGGAGGAGAAGGAGGAGGAGGAGGAGGGGAGGGGGAGGAGAAGGAGGAGGAGGATAAGGAGGAGGAGGCGGAGGAGGAGGAGGGAGAGGAAGAGGAGGGGGAGGAGGAGGAGGAGGAGGGAGGAGGAGGAGGAGGAGGAGGAGGAGGAGGAGGAGGAGGAGGGAGGAGGGGAGGAGGAGGAGGAGGAGGAAGGAAGGAGGAGGAGGAGGAGGAGGAAGGAGGAGGAGGAGAGGAGGAGGGAGGAGGAGGAGGAGGCGGAGGAGGAGGAGGACAAAGCTAGGTGCGCTCGCGTCATATCTGACGTCCTACCCCTCCCTCCCATCCCTTACCATGGCGCTGATTTTCTCTATCCGCGGACGCGTGTCGTAGCGGACCTGTGGCTCCGCGCGCGCGTGCGTAGTGGGTGGTGGTGCACGTGCGTGCGTGCGCGCGTGTGTGCGTGGTTGTCGTGGTGGTGGTGGTGGTGGTGGTGGTGGTGGTGGTGGTGGTGGTGGTGGTGGTGGTGGTGGTGGTGGTGGTGGTGGTGGTGGTGGTGGTGGTGGTGGTGATGGTGGTGGTGGTGGTGCTGTGGGGGTGGTGGTGGTGCTGGTGGTGGTGGTGTTGGTACTGGTGCTGGTGCTGGTGGTGGTGTGGTGGTGGTGGTGGTGGTGGTGGTGGTGGTGGTGTGGTGGTGGTGGTGGTGGTGGTGGTGGTGGCGGTGCGGCGCGGTGGTGGCGGGCGGATGGGCGCGCGAGAAAAAAGGCCCGCGCTGGGGCGAGAACGCCATCCTGAACGACGGAGGCCAAACACCGATCCGAAAATGAGGCCCACGCTGCAGCGGGAGCACGAGTCGGAACGATTCGGGAGCAGAAATGAAGCCGGCGCCTCAACGAGAGCAGCACTTTGGGAAAAAATGACGCCGGCGCCTCAGCGAGAGTCGTTTCCCGGGATTTCCCGGGCATCCTGTGTGTAAAATTATCTCGGCAAAGCAACCTAACAGCGATGTGTAGGAGCATATCTGGAAGCATTCCCCTTAAGATTCAGATGAGAATCCAGTTGTAGAATTCTGCTGTTCTCGCAGTCGTAGTCGCATTCGCGATGACAGTCGCAGTGGCAACGGCAGTCGCAGTCACAGCCTCAGCCTCAGCCTGCCTCAGCCTCAGCCTCAGCCTGCCTCAGCCTCAGCCTGCCTCAGCCTCAGCCTCAGCCTGCTCAGCCTCAGCCTGTCAGCCTCAGCCTCAGCCTGCCTCAGCCTCAGCCTCAGCCTGCTTCAGCCTCAGCCTCAGTCTGCCTTCAGCCTCGGCCTCAGCCTCAGCCTGCCTCAGCCTCAGCCTCAGCATCAGCCTGCCTCAGCATTCAAAATGTGGCCCGGGAAAAGTTCTGGGAACTCGAAGAACACGAAGTGGCCTAGAGTTGGCTCCGGGCATTCAAAATAATGCCCAGGAATGGAGTTCTGGGAACTCGAAGACCACGAAGTGGCCTACAGTTGGCTCTGGGCATTCAAAATAATGCCCGGGAATGGAGTTCTGGGAACTCGAAGACCACGAAGTGGCCTACAGTTGGCTCCGGGCATCCAAAATGTGGCCCGGGAATTGAGTTCTGGGAGGTCGAAGAGCACGAAGTGTGTGACTGTTGGCTCCGGTTATTCAAAATGTGGCCCGGGAATGGAGTTCTGGGAGGTCGAAGAGCACGAAGTGTGTGACTGTTGGCTTAAAACGAGCCCGGTTCTGTTCCCGGTTCTCCTCCCCGGCACCCGCCCAGACCCCCCTGAGGAGTCATGATGCTCTCTTTTGACCCTACTAGAAACCTATCAGCAAACGCTGTAAGGTAAAAACAGTACGCGGAGGGTGCGCGGCCATCACCCGGACGCCATCAGGGGAAGGATTCGGGAGCAGAAATGAGGCCGGCGCCTCAACGAGAGCAGCACTTTGGGAAAAAATGACGCCGGCGCCTCAGCGAGAGTCGTTTCCCGGGATTTCCCGGGCATCCTGAGTGTAAAAAAACAATACGCGGAGGGTGCGCGGCCATCACCCGGACGCCATCAGGGGAAGAGGGAGAGTATATTCATATTGAGTAATTGTGGAGGACGAGTCGCCTAAGCCCTTCGGAGAACCCCTCCACGCGGACCCCTCTCGGAGCCAGCAGGGGCCCAAAAGGGGCCCGAGAGTGCCCCTTCAGGGCCGCTCTCGTCCCCCCAGTTTAGGGCACCCCCCCATTACCACCCGCCCGAGACCCTCCCGCCGTGATTCGCATCGAGGGAAGTCTGGGGTGCCCCGGGCTCTAAGATCCCATTTCCCTCGGGACCCCTTCCCTTCATGGCGACCTCGTGCTTCCTGCGCTATTGACCTCCTTGCTCTCCCTGGCTGCTCCAGGATGTACGACATCGCCCCATGGAAGCACTGGGCCGCATGCAATCTAAGTCCATGGTAATGATGCAGGACGAGGATAGAAGGCCCGTGAACGTCCAATTTGGACGTCTTTGGACGTCGAACTTGGCTCAGGGAGCGTCAACCAAACAAGGATGCAAGGGCAGCCTTACAAAGCACTGAATCCTTACTATGGTTTTTGACTGTAGCATCGCTGGAACATCATAATCGAATCACATGGAGCCGGCCCGAACCGATCATCGACCCAGGGACGACCCTGTCTTTCCTGCCCCCTCGCGCGATCTGCGCCCGCGCCGTCGCCGCTGCACCGCCATCGGATCGGAGGAGGAGGAGGAGGAAGAAGAAGATGAGGAGGTGGAGAAGGAGGAGGAGGATTCGCAGGCCTGATGCTCTCCGCTGCCAGCCGAAATTAACCAGGGAACGCGATTCAAACGGCGGCAACTAGCCGCGTGGGAGGTCACGGCTTAGGGGGAGCCCCGTTCGCGGGTGACGACCTGCCTTGAGGATCTTCAGGGCAGTGGGTGCTACGTTCACGGCTAATCTGCCAATCGACGTGCCCTTGACAGCAGAAAGTCAATACTGGGAATTGCCGGGTGAATACTGATCCACCGCCGTTCAGACAATTCGATGGCCCAACGGGCCAGAGGCGTGCCAAGATCTCCATCAACTAATAAACCATATTTCTAGTTCGCGCGCGCGGGGCGGCTCCTGGGGATCCCCGGACGAAAAGTACCCCGGGCGGGCCCTGGGCGGTCCTACCCGGAGATGTTTTTGTTTCTTCTGGGCGTGGCTTTCAGGCGCCCCAGATCGCTCCCAGAGGGCTCCACGAGTCCCTGAGACGGTCCAAGATGGCTCCGAGTCACCAACGATCGGTCCAAGACGCCCAAGATAGCCTCCAGACGGCCGCAGACGCTCCCAAGACGCCCAAAGAGGCCTCGAAGAAACGTCTCAAGAGGAACCCAGGAAGCAAAAACCATCGATTCCCCTCTAGTTGTTGAAGGATTTTGGCGTTCTCATCTGTTCGGCTTTCCGACGCTCAAAGACGGCCCGAGAGGCCCCTAATAGCCGCCGACGCCTCGCCAGCAGCCGCCATCGCCTGACGCATCAGGGCCCCCGTGCCGACCAAGGGAACACTCCTTGGCCTGAGCCCAAATGGATACGGAGGAGGAGGAGGAGGAGGAGGAGGAGGAGGAGGAGGAGCAGGAGGAGGAGGAGGAGGAGGAGGAGGAGGAGGAGGAGGAGGACAAGCAGGGGGAGGAGGAAGGAGGAGGAGGAGGCGGAGAGGAGAGGAGGAGAAGGAAGGAGGGCGAGGAGGGGGCGAGGGGGAGGAGGCGGAGGAGGGGAGGAGGAGGCCCCCCGCCCCCATGAGGGGTCCACTTACTTGTACATGTTGCAGTACTGGCTTGATCAGCCCCCCCGTAGGAGCAATTTCTCTTGGAGGGGAGATAGCTGGGTTCGACCCGAACTCGGGGGCCGACAGTGACACCGACACGGGGCGAGGGAGAGGAGGCGGAGGAGGAGAAGAAGGAGGAGGAGGAGGAGGAGGCGGAGGACAAGGAGGAGGCGGAGGAGGAGGAGGAGGATGCGAGGGTGAGGAGGAGAGGACAAGGGACAAGGAGGAGAAGAGGAGAAGGAGGAGGGGGAGGGGGAGGATGAGGAGGGCGAGGAGGAGAGCGAGGGGGAGGATGCGGAGGAGGGGGGAGGAGGCCCCCTTCCCTCCGCGGCGGCCCCGTCCTCCCCAGCCACACCGCCCTCCTCTCCAGGCCCCCGCAGCGGGTCCTCCGCGCACGAGGCCAGCGGCGCGCCCAGCACCCACGCGCCCTCCTCGCGCAGCGAGCCGGCGGGGGGGCCGGCTGCGAAGCGGCGGCGGGAGGAGGGTTCGCAGGCTCGGAGCGAGGAGCCGAGGCCTCCTCCTCCTCCTCCTGCTGCTGCTCCTCCTTCTCCTCCTCCTCCTCCTCCTCCTCCTCCTCCTCTTCCTCCTCCTCCTCGTCCTTGTCCTCGCTCTCCTCCTCCTTCTCGCTCCTCCTCCTCCTCCTCGCTCCTCCTCCTCCTCCTCCTCCTTTTTCTCCTCCTTCTCCTCCTTCTCCGCCTTGTCCTCCTTCTCCTCCTCCTCCTTCTCCTCCTCCTCGACCTCCTCCTCCTCCTCCTCTCCTCCTCCTCCTCCTCCTCCTCCTCCTCCTCCTCCTCCTCCTCCTCCTCCCCCTCTTCCCCCTCCTCCAATCCTTCTCCTTCTAGATAGCTCCTCTTTATCGCACCCCACCTGAGACTTCCTCACCATTGATGGCTCTGAAGCTTCAAAAGTGGCAAAGGTTTCACAGATGGAGGGCGGGTGGTTTTCAAAATGTGGTTCTCGCCTTAGCGCCGCGCACATTCGTTTTAAACATGTGCAAGAGCTTCACGGATTGAGGGCAATTCCTTTTCAAAATGTGGCTCTCGCCTTAGAACCGCGCACATCCGTGTTTAACATTTGCAAGAATGTCACGGGTTCCCATGATCAGCGTACCGGAAATGGTGTTTTGGAAGGACTCCGGATTAGATGGGTGCAACAATTATGTTGATTCGCGGTGTTGAAGTCCCAAAAATGGCGCCCTGGCACGATCGAGAAGACACAGCAGTCAGGTTGATGCGCGGCGCTGAAATCCTGAGAACAATGCGTTGGCATGCTTCAAGATCTTCAAACGGTTGTCTTCCAACAAGGCAGTTGTCTCAATGGAAATGAACCGTTGTGGGGGCCTTTGAAGAGGGAGCATTGCGGGAGGGTTACTCCAACAACGTTGATGACTCTGGATTTTACAAGGCTCCTCCTTCTCCTCCTCGTCATTATCCTTTCTCTTTCTCCTTATCATCGTCCCCTCCTTCTCCTCCTTGTCCTCCTTCTCCTCCTTGTCCTCCTCATTTCTCCTCCGTCCTGATAATTGTCCTCGATGTCGGCCTCGCGCCCGTGTCACAGACCCCCGACGTCACGACTATTTGTTCACAACGTCGACCTCCAGGTCTGGATCCCTTCCCCGGGACCAGTTCTTCATCCTGAGTCGTGTTCTGTGACGGCCCCAAGGCCTGGCAAGGGCACCATAGGCCCAAAACTGCGAAAACCCTCCATCATGATTTTCGCCATGATCCGATGGGGTCTGACTTCCAGGACCCAGGACAATCAAGAACGGACCCATGAACGCACAAAAACTATTCGAGGAGGTCGGGACCGCTGAGGCCGCGGGTACAACTGGAACACCTCGCTGGATGTCCGCTGACCTCCTCGCGAAGTGGACAAACAAGCAGAGCAAGCACGATGGCAAGGCTTCGGGCTGCGCTCAGACAGCCTCCCAGGTAGTCCCGCCCCCCGAGCAGTCCCAGCAGGCCTCAACAGGCCCTCCGAATGGTCCGCGGCGGTCTCGACACCTCAACCCTGGGGCGCGGAGCGCCCCAGGGGGCGCCGCCGGAGGCGGCGTTAGGGTGTGGAGACCGCCCCAGACTACTCGGAGGGCCTGTTGAGGCCTGCTGGGACTGCCCGGGGGACCTGTTGAGGCCACGGGACTCCCTGGGAGGCTGTCTGTGCGCAGGACGAAGGCCTTGCCACTCGCGCCATGCTCTGCTCGGAGGGCCTGCGGAGGCCGGCGGGGACTGCCCCGGGGGGGACCTGCTGAGGCCGGCCCGGCTGTCCGCGCGCAGCCCGAAGCACGGCCAGCACGACAGGCGGCTCGCTGTAGGGAAACGAACCCAGACATCGGGCGTCTCGAAAAAATCGAAACAAAAGTTTCTCATCGCTTTCGGCCTCTGGAGGCCCTCGCCGGGCCTCGGGACCGTCAAGAAACAACTCGGGATGAAAAACCGGTCCTGGGGAAGTGGTCGGGAAGTTGGGGGCCCGTGTCTCGAAGAAATCGAGACGTTGGATGTCTGGGAACTCTATACACCGACGCTTTTTCCGGCCCTGCGCTAGACAGCTGCACGGGAAGGCGTTTCCTCTGCGGGGCCCTGGTGTGTGTATATATATATATATATATATACACATGTCGCTGTCTCCTGTGGAAGCGGAACCAGCAAGTATGCACCACACCACCCCGACGCCGTCCCCTTCCCTCAAAAATCGGGCCGGGCGAAAGGCGGGGATAGCAAAGGGGGAGGTTGAGAATGTGCTCACGTAGCTGATTCTCCTGGCGCCTCCCGGCGCCGGGACCCCCCTTTCCCTAATCCCCCCCTGGTCGTCCGGCCCTCCAGAAGTCTTGGGATTGAAAAGTAGCCCGCCACTGGTAAAGCACATGCTTCGATCTCCGACGCTGGGCCTCGCGAGCGCCCGGGGCCCGGCGTCGGCCTCCCTCCGGGGGCCCTCGCGGGTCCCCGGGGGCCGCCAAGAAGCGACAGCGGCCCCCGCCCTCGCGCCGCCACAGCTTGGGGCCCGCCGTATTCTGGTGGACCCTCCGACCTCAACTTCGGAGGCGGAAAAAAGGTACCCATACCTCTGCCCTTCGCCCGTTTTCCCCCTTGCGGGCCTCCTCGGAGGCCCTCGTTGCCACCGCTGGATTCGCCTCGAAATCCTGGTCAGAACGCACCCCGGGAGAGGTCTGGGGAGTAGCGGTTACCTTTTTGTCTCCCCACAACTTGTGTCGGCAGTGCATCCCAACCGATGCGAAAAAGCCGTGCGGGCATTCCGCATTAGAGTCATAGGGCTGATATGTCTGGCGAGGTGTCTCGAGCGAGCGGGAGGTCTCGGCGGAGGGAGAAGGATGCGTGTGCGGCTCCACAATTTCTGGAGGCGGTTTTGTGCAGCTGTTATTCGGAATCACTGAGACTCTTCAGCAAAAGAAAATCAAAAATAGCGACGGCAAAGTGGGGGGGAAATCCACATCAAAGGAGCCTGAAAGGTAGAGGAACAATTGCCGCCCTACTTGCGAAGTCGCCCAAAGTACGTCGGATCCGAAGTCAGGGCCTTCGACAGCGGTGTCCAGCCCCCGCCCGGCTGACAAACCCAGACCACCGACGTCGTGACTCTGCTCCCACCGTGGGCCCCCAGACCCTGAGAGCCGGGCATCGCAGTTTCTTCACAATGGAAACTTAAGCACGTTTCGGACCCCAGCACCATCACATATCCATCCGGTTCGAAAAATCAGCAGAGGGACGGGGTATTGGGATCCGGTCCTGATTTTCCGAGTCACTCTTTCGCATCCTCGGATCTCGGGGGAGGGCATGGACTCCTCTTCCCAAGGCCTGTTCTGCATCCCAGGCCATGCTCTGGCAGTGCCCAGGGACCAGCGTGGCCCGGAAGACCGAAAGCTGTCCAAACATCTGTCGCCGCGGTGTGTTCGTCGCGACGAGAAGAAGCATTCGCTCCCTACTTCTCCGAGCGGCTTCCTGCTCATCGGCTCTTGGCTCCAGCGCCCGCTCGGGACCATCCAGCCTCCCCACCGATGGCAAGACGGTTCCACCGCTCGAAGCACCAGCCACGGAGGAGAGGAGAAAGGGGAGAGGAGAGGAGAAGCGGACGAGGAACAAAAGAGGTAGCACGGGCCTGTTCGGGTGTTGCTAGAAGTACCCCTGGCCTAAGGTGCCCCCAGCTTTCCGCTCCATTTGTTGGAGCACCTGGGGCCCTCTGGGCCTCGTGAAGGG